CACCGATCGATCAAGACTGCTGAGTGCGTTTTTATAGTCTAAGAATACCGCTCTAACGGTCTTACACTTCGTATTCAAAGCCAACCTTTGAATGTCAGAGATTCATGTATTATTTGGTGATTTTGCTTCTTTTGGAAAGTGATTTTACATCGAAGGGTGTCATGTTACGAAAACGAACATGCTCCTCATTCCATCACTTTTCTGTGCAAAGACCTGTCATGATGAAGTGATTTCCCAAAGTATTGTAATGCAAACTGGTTCACGTATGTTGGTTTTGTCATTTTTTGTTTTAACTTCTGATGTGCATCATCAATATTACCTAATAGGTGTCATTTCTTTCATGCACAAACCAATTTAGGTTGCTCGTCATTTAAAAATTGTTGGCGAGTGCAACATCCAGTTCGCTTTGGACCCAGATTCTCTGAAATACTACATAATCGAAGTGAACGCCCGACTGTCTCGAAGTTCCGCATTGGCAAGTAAAGCCACCGGGTATCCGCTAGCGTATATCGCTGCCAAGCTAAGTCTCGGTCGCAGTTTGACTGAACTAACAAATGTGGTTACCGGCGATCTGACCACTGCTTGCTTCGAGCCCAGTTTGGACTATTGCGTGGTTAAAGTTCCTCGATGGGATCTAAGTAAATTCACTCGGGTTAGTTGTTTCCTGTTTGTGTTTATGCATTTCTCTTTGTTTTCCTGTTGTAAGTTCATGAATTGTAGCGTGCTCCAGTGATCCCAATACACGCTTGCATGTATACTAAATGTCTATATGAATGTGGTAAAAACCCGAGTTTCCTCGGTTGGTACTTCGAATCTTGGTGTCATTCACTGAGGTTTTCTCTTTAGTTCTCAGATTTTCAATGCATATTTTTGAACTTATGTATAATTTCTAATGATGCATTATTGGTTAACTGCAGATCACAATCCCCGGCCCAGTTAGTGTTATTTCTGTAACCTTGTAATATGTCATTATATTCACATACGGACGTGCAAAACCAATGATCATTTGTCTCAAAATTGTCATAGATGAAAGAAGTAGGATTCGTAAACAATTCTTTGTTCCTTTGGGATTTTCAATTGAATATTCTCGACCACCGTACTTAAATGACTAATGTGAATACATAAAACTTTATTATCAATCTTGGCATTATCGTCTGCACTAACGACTGACCCAGTTAAACAGAATCACAGTATTATAAAATTATAGCACTCTACCGCCACCACCCGCCCACACCCAATTGTTTCAATTTAGTCACTCATCCATTTTTCCTCGCTTGTTATCCTATTGCTGTCTTGACTATTCGAAAGCTTACTAAGAAAATCCATCTGCTTTGATCTGGGCAAGCTAGCATTACTTCACCCACCCTTGGACGTTTTTCATTGTTATACGGATTAGTGTACCGGGATTTGTGTGATACAGTCTGAACTCAGACGCATGCTATATGTGTACAGTACTGGTCGATTGTGATGCACTGAAATATTTTCTTTATGATCCAATGGAGTTTCACCATATTTATTACCTGTATTAATGCTTTAGGTATGGACAATAATTTATATCTTGTCTACTGCGATCTAAGTAGTTTCTAGGCTGCATAATTGTCAATTAACCGTGCCTGACCTTGGGTACCAAGATTAAGTGATCTGAACATGAAAAACAAACTTTATCAAGTATGACAACGCAATATTTCCTAATAGGAATGACTCAAGAATTACCCCAAATTACTTCCATAAATCCTTGCCATCTCGGTTATTTGTTATGAGGCATTATTTTATCTAATTTATAATCCATTATAGCAACTCTATTGAATAACCAAATGAAATTCTTTCACAACCCAGAGAAATTGCATTAAATAAGGTTTCATAATAATAATCTGTTTCATGTCTAACTCAATCAATTCGAGAAGTACCACCCCAATCAAAATCAACCTTGAAATCAAGGTCATTTTTGTGCACAGCTTTGAATGTTCGTATTGTTGTCACCATAGTGAAGCAAACAGCGCTTGAACCCAAAAGTTCCCGTTATCCCAGTGAAGAGGACAGAAACAGAATTGCACGAGCACACAAGCTGGGATTTCTCATATCACATCTTGCCCAATGCTTTAACATTAACAAAAGCACAATTTACTGGACAATCCATGTGAAAACAACAACCAGAAAAGCTTGTGGGGGCTGTTAACTGAGTACATCCAAACAGTATATATATATATATATATATATATATATATATTTACAGTTTTCCCACTGACCTGATTGAATGATTCAGTTCGACTAGTATGTTTCTTCGTTTCACATGATTGTATAAGGATGCACCCGCAGCTAGATGGGAATAAGCGAAATTACTGACCAAAATCAATTCACCTATCCGTTCTTGTGTTCATGCAGTGAATCAAGGGAAAGAATGGTCTGCAAAATGTTTTGACTATAGTACAAATGATGCAAACGTTATAGGGAATATAGACCTTTTTATTTTGTCATACACCTATTTTAAGAAAATCCTAAGCTACTGGCACATTTCATTCACAGATTTGGCTATTCATTGCTACCGCTGATTTCTTCCATTCAGAGTGTGAAATAGATCAGGATGAGACAAATTAGAGTCAACGATAACAAAATTTCTTTTTGTTTCTATTTTTCATTTCTTATCCTCACACATCTCCAACCCTTGCTAATTATGTCCACTCAGATAACGAGACATATTGGAAGTTCGATGAAAAGTGTCGGCGAAGTGATGGCTATCTCACGTTGCTTTGAAGAGGCCATGCAAAAAGCATTGCGTATGACTGATCAGGGAGCTGTGGGATTCGACGGACGTGGTTACACAACTGATGAGGAAATTCTGGTTAATCCAACCGACCAACGCATCTATGTGCTAGCTGCAGCTCTACACGAAGGCTATTCTGTAGATCGCTTGTTTGAGCTAACTAAAATCGATCGCTGGTTCCTGTATCGGTTTTCAGCTATTGTTCAATGCCAGAAGAAGTTAAATGAGGTGAGCATTGTCCTTGACATGACCAGTCTTATGTACATTAGTTGTTGTTAGGTTTTATTATTATTATTATTGTAGTATAAAAAACTATGGTCACCGGGACTCACTGTTCGGTTATTAGAGCTAGAAGTTTATGCCGCTTGGCGTGGAGTAGAGAATCACGTTAGAAACCAGTAAGAGCGCTGTTAACCTNGATCTGTCTACTACCAAAGTCTTGTATTAGTGTCAGTGTTTTAATGATCATTGCGCCTCTGACATTAATCGCTCGGTTACTGTCCTCCAATTGAAAAATTCTTCTCCAGACTGATCATTAGCATAAATCGTGATGTAATCTTACCTCTTTGGTGAAGTTTACTCTTAGCGCTGTTTTAAATGGACTACGATGTACGATGTTTTCTGAGACAGGTCATAGGTGGAAAATGTAAAGGATGGTCCAATAGAACTTAGCATGAGAGTATGAAGACACTAACCAGAAGACTCGGTTATATGTAGGCCATGTTAAGCTTCCTGGATAAGAATCAGCATAACCGATGGTTAGAGACACTGAGTGACCTGGTTGAATGTTGCCAAGAGTGGCGCTCTTGCATCCTCTCAGCCTTTTTGTAACCTCAGACCACCATAATTCTGTTTTTTTACTTGAACACAATGTATGCTGTGCTCGTTTATTCAAACAAGCAGCCAAGGGCAGCAACGAAAACTGACACACGAAGGTGCATAGGTAATGGTTGTAAAAACCGAAAATATCCATCTTGTCATGGAAGTTCCATCAGGAGTGATATTGCTGTAGTGTCCACATGGGTACGTTAATGCTCCAGGTTAGAATCATCAGCACTATACTATACAAAGCATTGATTTACAGGAACGATTTTTCATTAACTTTAGTTTTGACGGGATGACGAACCTCACATACCATCCTCACTTGCAATCAGGTCCCTAAGGGAACATTGAAGAAACTGGTCAACTTTCTTGATCACGCCTCAAGTCAACCCCCCGGGGATGATATGACCAATTCTGCACTCGAATCCCTTTACGTGTTCAGCTGTGCCAAACGCCTGGGCTTCTGTGACATCCAGATCGCACACGCGCTCCAATCATCTGCCCTCACCGTCTCCCGGTTACGCGAGCAGTTGCATCTGGGTCCAGCTGTGCGTCAGGTGGACACGGTTGCCGGTGAATGGCCGGCCACAACCAATTATCTCTATGTCACCTATGCCGATTTACCACTAGCTGAAATTATTCATCTTCGTGGAACATCCAATCTGGAACATCTACTGGAAGGTGTAAAAAATGCTGTCGACCCTGTTCAGAAACATGATGTAAGCTTTCAAGCACAAAGTAAGTATAATAAAACACTGGGAATTATGTGACCCAGCGACTTTATATTTTGGTAACAGTCCTCATGAAAATCAGTTAAAATGAGGCAATGGAGTGATCTGAAGCAATAAATAAGGTCACGTTAGTGGGAATATCCACTTGAGGCTGTACATGCGGAGATATCGTAGCCAACATCTGTGTCAAGAGGAGATTAAAAAACCTTTCTCTTTTTTACGACATACCTGCATGATGAACAGCCTATGAGCTGGACCCCATAGTCACAAATATCAGACCAATTTGCCTGGGATAAACGCAAACATGTGAGAAACATAGTAGTTCTAGTAAAATTTATTGCACATCAGTGGCCTTCATTAGAACGATAGGACTGTTATGCCCTCGTCACCTTTCTGTGAATACAAGTTATTTGTACCGAGCTACATGCAGGCAAGTCCACGGTGGTAACGTCACCAAATTATCACTCCGGGGATGTGTGTTCGAATCCCATCACCAACCCCTGACTTTCCCGATTGTGTTGAATGTCAGCCCTTTGATTGGCTGCTTACCCCTTCCTAAAAATAGTATCTTTGCATATTCAATGAAATGAAAAGATGAAGAAAACAACAACGTAGTCACTCTGATAGGGATTCTTCCATGCTTTTCTAGTATCACTTGATTAAATGTCAAGTATTGAATGGCGCTAGCTGACCGGTTTAAATATCTGATAATAAGTTTCAGTTTTTGAGGATATCCGGAATCGAATCCAACTACCAACAAGTTAATCCAAACTGCAATTATCTCCCGAGTTTCGCGCGGTCTTATTAAAATCCCTCTGTGCCTTTTCGCCGGAGTACTAATTCGTTTCCTGCTGTTTTTCATACTTAATCGCATGAAAAGTATTTGCATTTAAGAAGTCATTTATCCAATCTCTGCTTCAGTTTACAACCACACCGAATGTTGCTCAGCGGTGATTCATGAGTTTCATTCTTTCTGAACGAAAATGTACTCAGCACGGAAGGACGTCTTATGAAAAAGTTCGTCACTTGTCTTATTTCGAATCTGTTTATCTGGTTTCAGCTAACATTATGGTTTTGGGTTCTGGTGTTTATCGGATCGGATCCAGTGTTGAATTCGATTGGTGTGCTGTGGGTTGCGTTCGCGAACTGAGACGTCTGGGCTGGTCTACAGTGATGCTTAACTGCAATCCGGAGACCGTCTCCACTGATTTTGATATGTGTAATCGTCTCTACTTTGATGAACTGTCACTAGAGCGCGTTTTGGACATTTTCAGGTAAGCCCGTGTGTATCTTCCACCTTTGTGCAATCCTGATCAAACAATATATAACTTCAGTTTCACCACCGGCTACAGTTACGTCGTTTCCCTTATGCATACTCGAATAACATTTCTTTTCATCAGTCCTTTCTGATAGTTCCCACTCCTAAAGTCAATGAACGTGGTTCCATTTGTTTCCGCTGTACCAAGCTTACGGGAAAAGTAGTGATTAGATTTAACGAGTAAACCTATACTAATGACAGTTCCCTTCTTAAGAATTCCAACTCGTTTCTACCATTTTTGCTCCTGCTCGGGATGTTGCCGCACTTCAAAAGGTTAATCGTACTTACCAATACACTCATCGATGTTATGTTGCAGTTGAGCCCTTACTATCTTGTTTTGCACATCATTACAATGGTTGGATCCAGATTGCACGGATTATTTCTGTTTTTTACAGCTGAGTGTGAACGAAAAACTTGAATTATATATCATTCCTTCTGTTTAAAACTATTTTAAATGAAACCGTACAGAATTTCGTTTCACAGAATCGTTTTTTATTCAATCGTATGCACTTTTATTTACCTTTTCTTTCATGACCTTCACATCCAAGATTCTCGACATCTAAAATTGACGATACCACTAGGGTGCAGTGGTCCTTCCAAAACAATCTCTATTGGTTTGCACCCAGTTAGAGTTTTCTCCTAAGGGAGCAGTGTTACTTGGGGCTTAACTCTCATCATATCTGAATGTGTTACACTCTTCGGTGACAAAGATAATCCAATTATCAATCCAGAGGACGTGTGTTTGAATCTCAGCACCCCCATATGACTTCTGCACTATGACAGCTATTTCATTGGCCGCTTCCCCCTCCCTGAAAGTTGTATCATTGTAGATTGAATAAAAGGAAGTAATAATCAGAGAAAAAAATCTCTTCCGAAACAACAATGAAAAAGTGTGATTAACCTCTAGCGTTCTCGAATAAAGTCACGTGCAACCGGCAATTCAGTTTCACTTCTTTGCTTTCTTTGCACGCTCCCCCTCTCTGGCAACGCCCTGTCACGGAATGTTCATAGACTGGAAGCTTCAGTTGGTGTAATTGTCAGCATGGGCGGTCAGACGCCGAATAACATAGTGATGCCAATGCACCGTCTCGGTGTGCCAATCCTAGGCACATCAGCTGAGTCAATTGATACAGCGGAAAATCGTTTCAAATTCTCTCGTCTCCTGGATTGCATGAACATATCTCAACCGCGTTGGAAAGAGCTGACCGATTTGGAATCTGCTAGAGCGTTCTGTAGCGAGGTTAGTCACCGTTTCGCTCAGTTCCACTTAATTCTTATCAGTTTTGTTGTTCCCGAATGTAACTGACTTTTTTCTATCTCTGAAATTGGGGGAATCTACTGTCCATTTTTCATCC